AAAAGTTATTGGTGAAAACCAATAATGAATCTTAACTTAGGAAGAAAAAAAACCCCAATATATCCAAATTAATTTAATAAATTAAATATCTAGCTTATGCCATACCTAAAGAGTCATACTACGATTCTTACCTTTCAAACTGACAAGGGCTTTTGCTGAAGAGCCTGCAATAAAACAAATCAATGTTATTGCATAATCAAAGTGAGAGAAAAAGAACTTGGTTTGGGAGTAACAGTGATCCATTTATTTTTAGCAATGTTGAGTTTGAAGTGATGGTGGAATGTGCAATTAGAAATAACTAGTAGACAATTCAAGCTACAGACCAGAACTCAGATAAGGTAAGGAAGAGCTGGAAAGAGACATCTGGGAGTCTTGTTGAAGTTGTGAGAACTAGAGACCTTTCCAAGAGACAAAAATGTGGGGGGAGAGGAAGAGTAGGAATAGACGCAATTTTGGATCCTCATCCAGAAGTGTGCTGGTGCTAGAGAAGGAAAAGAGAAAGGAAACTGGCATTTCTTGAGGCAAAGATCAGAAGCGTTGAGAGAGTAGAGAAAACAGAAAATGGAAATGATCCAGGGACTGTCAGAGCAGGCAAGAAGTCCTTTGGGAGTCTAGAAGGCAGGTATGTACAACACTTAAAGACCCCAGCTGCAAAGGGGAGTTCAGAACAGCCAAGAAGGGCATGATTTTGGAGGGGTTCACTGACTAAAACGAACTTTAGTGTGTATTAGAATAGCCAGGAATCTCCACATACACACACAATCTGTCTGATTAATAAAGATCCTCAGGGGATTCTGTTGCAGGTAAGCCTAAGGTTCACTTTGAGAAACACTGGGCTACTGGTATGAATAAAGGATAGGATCTATGGGTGAGGGGAAATAGGAGAATCAATAGGAAAAGAAGTTTTTAGGAGAAAGGGAGAGCACCAAATTGAAAAATCTCTGAATTGGATATGTATGTTGCAAAGAAGTCCAAGTCATTTGAAAATAAAGATGATCTCCCTCGCTTATATGTGGCATCTAAAAAAAAAAAAGCCTCAGATATAAAGAATAGATTAGTGGTTGCCAGAGGTGGGAAGTGGGATTGGGGAAATAGGTGAAAAAGTACAAACTTCCAGTTATAAGACAAAAATGTCCTGGGGTGTAATGTACAGCATGGTGACTACTGTTAATGATACTGCATTAAATATCTAAAAGTTGCTAAAATAGGAGACCTTAAAAGTTCTCATCACAACAACAAAAATGTAACGATGTGTAATTGGTGTTAGATAGATTTACTGTGGTAATAATGTTGCAATATATACAAACATCAAATCGTTATGTTGTACACTTAAAATTAATACAATGATACATGTTAATTACATCTTGATTAAAAAAAAAAGAGCAAGGCAGCTGGTTAGCTCAGTTGGTTAGGGCGTGGTGCTCTTAACAACAAGGTTGCCGGTTTGATCCCTGCATGGGCCACTGTTAGTTGCACCCTCCACAACTAGATTGAAACAACTACTTGACTTGGAGCTGATGGGTCCTGGAAAAACACACTTAAAAAAAAAAAAAAAGAAAGAAAGAAAGAAAAATACATTAACAGGGAAAAAAAAGCTTTCTATGCTCCAAAGTAGAAAGTATTCACAAAATTATACATGAGCAAATCTCCCTCTTTAAAATTTAAAAAACTGTTTAGAATACCTTTTTTCCTTTTCCTTTTGTCAAATTCTTATTAATCATTCCTCATTTTCAAATTTGTTTTATTTTATAACCAGCTACTTCTCATCTCAGTTACTGTGACATCCATTTAAGTTTTAAACCTAATCTAAGAGCAGGCAGTATTGAAGTTATTTGAAAGGTTGGCCAGTNTTTGTAAATTTGATAGGAGAAAAATTACATTATTCTTGAAGTTAATATTTCCTTATCCAATTTTCACTCATTCCTTTGATTCTTACATGTCCACTATGACTTTTTTAAAAAAGATGTCAAAAATGCAAAAGGAGGTAAGATTTCAGGCTATGTATGTTTCTCTTCTGGATTAAGGAAGTCTTCAACATCTTTCCCTCAGTGGAATCCCCTCTAATTTCCATGCAAAACTGCAAACTGATTCCATATTGCTTAATGTCCACTATCTTCATGCTTAAAAGAACAGTGTATATTTGTAAGACTGAAGACTGGCAATGCCCTTTTGTAGGTAACTAAAATAGGAGCTGAGCTGGAGCACTGATTTAAAGAAAAGAACTTGTTACTCAAAATGTAACAGAACAAACTGTATTACTCTGAGCAATTGCTCACTTCCTATCACATGAAACAAAATTTTAGCACACACATACCTGTGGAACCATTGCAACCCTCTGGTTTCTTTTAGGTGATCTTGTATTTATTTGTCTGTCATCTTCATCAGAAAAGAGTCGACTTCGTTTTGAATTTCTGAAAGGCTATGAAAGAAATTTTTTATTTAATGAAAAGGCTGAACGTTTTTGTTCCAAAATATAATTCTACACTTGGAAACTACAGCTAACTCTGGATTATCAGCAGTATAGAAGGATGAAGTATGGGTAATATAAAGTGCACAAAGTCAAATATAAATAGCCTTAGATTTAGAAAGTAGTAAGATACATAGTTATGTGCTGTGTTTATAAATGAAACACCTAGTTGATGATTAAAACTAGAATCCAAGTCTCCTTAGTACACTGGCAGCCTAAAATGGTGAAGATAGGAAAATAAATTCTAGAAATTCCAGTTCTCATTATGTTGGTATTTGGATTAATACCAGTGGGTGTATCCCATGATATGTCTGCTGCATAGGGCTGGGCTGGGCTGGGCCAAAGTTACTAGATCCACTGTAGAGGGTAAATCTAAATGTATATATAATAATACTGTATCTGCTGTCAAAAATTGTTAACTGAATTTTCTTTTGTAAATAAAAATACAAGATACCCACAACAGATACTTCATAAATGTGTGTATACCTAAAAAATTTCTAAGTACCCAAAGTACATCACACACTTAAGGGTCCATAATATGAAAAATTTTACAGTCCATCCTAGGCTCAGATGCTTCATTAATAGAACAGAAAAAATAACCCAATAGTACCCACATCTTTTTTCAAATCCTCCTCCCATCATTCAAGACAGAGCTCCATGCCTAGTTGAAATGGAGGTAGGTACAGAGGGTTAGCAACATATGAGCAGCATCCAACTGGGTCAAGGCTAGAGGTACGGATCCTTGAAATTAAACCCACTGAGAGTCTCAACACTCCACAGCCCTGACAGGAAGTCCCCTGTACCCTGCTCCTCTCCCCTGACAACTGGTAGAGAGGAGGAAGAGAATGATGGTGACAGAACTGACAGAATGTGGAAAGTCCTGTACATGCCAGCTGCCCAGGCTACTGTGACTGCTGCTATCTGTCCCAGGTCCAGGCTTGTTTCATGATTGATCCCTAAACCCTCCTGGCTACCTGGCTAGGCATGGGAGGAGCAGAGTCCCCCAAATCATTAGTCATCCCAACTATACGCTCATCTCTACTTCCCAGCCCTAAATGTGCTTACCCTTGACCTACACAAGATTTTAATATCTTACCACTTATTTATGTATCTTTTTGTAGGGAATCAGAGCAATGCAACATTTTTTACATTGTAAAAAAAGTATGATTTAGGGTTGTTGAAGTTTTTTTGTTTTTGCCTATTTAAACAAACTACAATTACTTTACAAATGCTTAATGATGACCAGATTATCACAGGCTACCAATTATTTATCTAAATATGATCAAATGCTGCTCAGTGACACTTAAGGACTCAAATGTTTGGAGTTGGGGGAAAACATTGGAAAATTTTTACTGTGCTGTAAGAATTCTCACATGACAATAATACAGACAATTTAACTATATTCTAAAGTGTAAGAAAAACTAATTCCTTACCATTTCCACAGTGGAGGCTGTATTCCTGCCTTTCCAAACAGGTGTTTTTTGTAAAGAACTGAATTTTTCATTCCATGTGTTAGATAAGCTTCCCTCTGTAATAAATAATTATTACTAATAAGATTTAAGTTTAGTTCAAAGAATTTCATACTATGAACATTACCTTTTTAATAATAGTAATATACCTGCAATATTTACCAATATGGAAAACATACACTTAACTATAATAATTTTAGTTTACCACAAATGAAAAATCTCTTCTGTATTATTTTTCAAATTCTCGAAATAATTTGACAAGGCAATGCATCTTGAAGTATTAAATTTTCTTATTAAAACATGTGGCTTCTTTCTTTGTTTTTAATAATTCCTCTATTCTAATTTGCCAAGAACTGTCTCAAAAGTACAATCTAATTGAAAGCAGGGCAATGGAAAAAGCTCCTTTTAACCTTGAATTTAGATTAAATGTTGTCTGCTTCCATATGTGAAACTCCTGATATCTAAAAATGAAATTTGAAAAATCTGCTTTCCTTAACTCAAAGAAACATCTTCAGAGTTTATGCAGCCATAAAAGATCCAATCAAGTAACTGATTAGACATACTATGAAAATAAAGGGTAAGTTTAATCTTTATGAAAAAGATATGTTTATATATAGCAAGACACATAGAAAACTGGGATGAATATACCCAGCATAGTTATTTTCATTTCTTTCTAGCTGCTTATCAGTGTTTTCTAATTTTTTCTCTATAAAATTTATATTATTTGTTTATATATTTTTTTAAAAGAAAAATTATTTTAATATTGGGAAAAAATAATGAAATGCTTTTTCAGACATATGTTTTAATACATACAAAAGAAAAGAGATGGGATGGGGTTGATCTTGGTAGGCAAAGAAATTAGGATAATTCTGGAAGATAAATGTTCTCAAGCCAGAAGGACTTAATCTGGTAAATCTACAACCCAAAGCACAATAGAGGAGTTTTAAAAACTAAAAGTACTAATGAACCTTTGAGACGATCTAGCTTGGTTCCAAATTTACTTACCCAGTAGAATCTTGCTCAAAAGGTAAAATTTCAAAATAAATTATATTAAGAGGATTGGTCTCATGTACTTACAGAAAGAAATAGCAAGACCAAGAAACATGTCTAACTTTTTTCTCAGAAAAAGAAAATTACTATCATTCTTTCATTTTAAGAGACTTGCATTATTACTTAAAAGGCAAGACTCATAAAAAATAAACTATTATGCAAAAATACAGCTTAGCATAATAGTCTAATAAATGTTATAAATGTAGCAAGATCTGTCTGAAATGTTATAGTTAGAAAGTTCTTTAATCAATAATTCTAGGGAAAAAATTTCTTAGTAATTTCTAAGAACCAAGGACCAATTCTCCTATAATAGTATATTTAATGAGTTATCATTGGTTAAAAAAAAAGTTATTGGTGAAAACCAATAATGAATCTTAACTTAGGAAGAAAAAAAACCCCAATATATCCAAATTAATTTAATAAATTAAATATCTAGCTTATGCCATACCTAAAGAGTCATACTACGATTCTTACCTTTCAAACTGACAAGGGCTTTTGCTGAAGAGCCTGCAATAAAACAAATCAATGTTATTGCATAATCAAAGTGAGAGAAAAAGAACTTGGTTTGGGAGTAACAGTGATCCATTT